ATATATTTATAAATAATTACACACAGTGTTATGTAGTGTTACTGCCCTCCTAAAAGTTGATTTAATTTACAGTTGCATGTATTCCGAGATTCTACACGAAATTTGCAAATTTGCTGAAAGAGATTTATGTATTCCAATAATTTTAACAATTTTCTTGCAGAGATATGCTCAATTCATTAGTAGAAAAAAGGCGACAAATGGTACTTGTACCAAATTCAATACATAGTAAAAAAGCGGACGATGAAATTGCATCGCGCACGTTGTATATAGATCAAAATCGACTCAAACTTATTAATTGTATTGTGTTTTCCATCCTTATCAAACTACCTGATAACGATAACGTAAGACGGTTTTTTCCACTATTTTATTTTGCTGTAATATTTGTTGTAATTTTTTTCAAAATATCTTGTTTTCCTCATTGTTTTTCTTTGTTGTATAGTTATTTCAGTGTGGAGCAGTTTTATCATTCAAATTCATAAGTTTCATAACCAAAAATTATGAATATTGGGGTAAGATATTCGAAAATTGTGGAAAGCTAATAGTTATTTATGGTAGCCAAATATTGTGCTGTAATCGAAATGAGATATCCTATTGATGATAAACGGAAGCATATGATACAAAGCCTATAATACAGACAATTACTAAATTTCATAAAGAGAATTGGTAATCCATGGATTTAGTGAATATTTCAGATCAATTTCCAGAATTGCCTGATAAAAGAGTAAGTGTAAAAAGCTTCACCCTAAAAATAATTGATAAACTTCCATTAATATTTGCTACATATACAGGTATGCTTGTATGAAAATCGAGTTCCTATTGTAAGGCGATGGTGGTGGCAGCGGTACGATGATATCATTGATATTGGTGCTTTCAACAAATGGTTTAGACTTGGGAAAAGTTTCGAAAATTACGATATTAATGAGAGTGAATTCAACAATTCTCTACTAAGCTTGCATGAATGTTAAGCAGTTACGGATTGCTGCCAAAACTTCTCTAATAAAAATATAAATTCTTGATCACCAACAAGATTGTGCATGGCTGTGTTCAATTTACTTACGTGGTTTCCTATTGTGAGAAAAATGATTCGCTGTTACATGTGAACCCTTTCATCTCACAATTAATAGAAGACAAAAACAATTAAATTGGAGGGTGAGGTCACTTCATAGTCTGAGAATTGCCATTTTCTTCAAGATCAGTGCATCGAAAATCGGCGCACGCTATCACTGCACGTGAAAAATCGGCCATAGATTCTGGTGATGGCCACCGATTGACGGCTATAGCTGCGGCACTAAGTAAATCCTCTGAAATGCCTGTAAAACAAATTTATCTCCATTCACACTCCAATCGGGAAGATAGCAGAAACCATGTTGGGAATATATTGCACAAGATCGTTCACTCTCGCGATTTTTTTACTTTTGAATGTTGACCATTATGTTATGCAGAAGGGTTTTGATGTCAAACTAGTTATATCCAAATAACGAAAATAAATGCATCTTTGAGCTGCAATATCGATGTTGGTATGAACGAGACGCCCTAACTGTGGAAAATTTGTGGAAAATTCTGTTAAGTTAGTTGATAATACTTCCGTTGCAAAATCTTAATTTGGAATGGAATTTCATTATCAGTATTTGATTTTATATAAAAAGAAATTACATCGAGATGCGATTATGAATTCCGGCAGAAATGATAACGCGTGTAGACTGATGTCGGCACTTTTGTGTAGCAACGCAGCAAAATATGCACTCATGAAATGAACACTCATCTATAAGAGAAAGCATTATAAAAACTTTCGGAATTTCCACCTGATTTATCACTTCTAATAGAGATAAACCTAAGATGAAGTCTCAGTTTCTTCTGAAAGTCAGTGATAATAACTCATTAGCGCGAATAATTTCTTGCATTTGTATCTGTAGTGCAAGAGTGAAGATATGAATGCACAATCTTTTGAAACGAAACTTCAAAACAACAAGCCAACAGTCGAATAAAATGGAAGGAAAAGGACGTACGAATGGGTTGGAGGAGATGTAATTCAGCGCACACTGATAAGCCAAGCTTCGAACTGGACGCACAAGATCGGTAAATGCGCTTTGAATGAGATGCATGAATGGGGCTATACGACCGGGCGATTCAGTGGTGGTAGCACGAAGCTCATCGAGCAGTGCAATGCGGTCGCAGGATGTTTCCGCGGTTTCCAATCTGGATAGTAGTGATGCGCTCATGTTAAAGAATCTGGAAAACCTGAAAGTTACATTAAATGAGTTGGAGGAAATATGCTGTCACTATCCTTCAGGCTATGAACAGTTATGATAAATAAATAGACTTTCACATTCACAGCTTTTGAGGGTAATCAAACGCAACCATTTTTTTAATTAAAGTGTCTACAGGATAAAAGTAAGGCATATGTAACAACGGTTTTGTGCTAACAGAGTGCTAACTGCTTCATATTTCAGAATGTGCGGATAAATAATGATTGGTGTTGGAGTTATTTGAGTTATAAGTCTAAGCTTATCGTTTATTAGTAATTATATGATAAATGCATATTCTTAAATTTTTGCAGGCTTATTTCGTTCAGTGGTAGTCCAGACATGGCTCCCTGAAACATTATAATAATCAGTATTCAAATTAAAAATTTTTTAATCTCATAAAACTATTCTTATTGGTACTGACGTCTTTTGGGAATCTTCAAAACAAAATGTTGATGTGTTCTTTAATCCCAACCAAGTACAGTATTTTTTTATTCAAGGGAAATTTTATATTGAAATAATTTTGAACATTAGTGAGAAACAAAAAGATTTCTGCCACGGAAGATGTCTAAAATCGATTTATGTGTGGTATTTTAAGTAAAAGGGTAACTTATTACCAGTGATAATTCCTGGTACTACCTCTCAGACTTTTGGCTAATGCTACTGACTACCACAAGTGAAGCATACTCATTCCTAACCATACTCATCGCTTGTTAACAACCTTAACAACCTGTCGACATGGTATGGAGAAAATGCTTTATCACGTTGGCATTGTTTTCTCATCTCCAGGCACTATTCATGGTGGCATTACATTCCTTCTCTCTCAGACGAATTTGATTCGGATGAATATGTAAGTTACGGAGGACAGGTAACATGTGCAATTTACCAGGTGTACTTAAAGGCAACTTGGGGAATAAATATTAATTTGAAGCTTTCTTATCACTGAATTAGTGTCAATTTGGAATATGATATCTAATGTTCTTTGTTAATGGACGATCCCATTGTTATATATATGTTGGCTAGTAATAGTGCTGGCGTATGTTGGAGACAGAGAACTAAGTCATGAATAACCGCTCTGTGGAATTTCATCTGCTGGTGACATATTAAACAAGTTTTAATTTTACTCATTAAAATCTGTTTAATATATCATCAGCGGATGAACTGACAAACAAAGCTATGTAGAAGATGTCCAGAAAATTCACAGCATGAAACTTGATTTTAGCGCGATTCAAGCTTACAAAACAAAACCTTCAAAAGTCGATTTGATAAAACACCAAGAAGATACACTTTTCCTGAACTTGATATCTTCAAAAAGAAATTATTAAAATATGAGACCATCCCAAAGAACACACTGCAGGGAGAATGAATTGTGTACTATCAATTAGCATCTGTAGAGAAAGGAAGATAAGATTAACCTTGATATCCACTGAGGTAAGAGAAAGAACGTGAACTAGCAAATCCGAACATGAAGAGATAGTTGGTTCGATTCGTACTTCAGCAAAAAAATGGAAAAAGGGTTAAAATATATAAAAGCATCCGTCAAAGAGTGACCAGAAGAGAATTAAAATTTTCTTCCTTCATTAATGTTTAGACTGCTTCTACTGAGCTTTTTTAATAGGAATTTTTGCTACACTTGGATCAGGAACCACCCTGGAGAAAAAAAATTTCGGCTTTACTAGGATTTGAAGCAATTTCACAATCTTGGACTGACTTGATATAAAGACTAGAACAATTCTCAATCTAAGTTTAAAAAAGTCACTAGAAGGAACAGCAAAACTAGTGTGCAGACCCTCCATGTCCAAATACCTATTACATCTCAGATGCAAAGCTTAAGATTTCAAATAAATTAAAATAGCAATGACCCATTTTTGTAGCTCTTGATACCTCTGTGCTATTTACATTATAACCAAAATATTTACAGAAAGGGAAGTACCACTGAAAGATGAAATTTCGGAAAAGATAAGCGTAGTGGCAGTTAATCGGTATGGGTTATGGACGACATGATCGTTCTCATCTTTGCCGATAAAAACAGTTCTACATATTTATTGTCTCATTTATTCATAATTTCTGCATTTTAAAACACAATTTCAAAACTTACCGTAGCTAAACCTTCTATTACAATTTTATGATAAAACAATAAACTAATTGAAGACGACAGAAAGAGACAGGACAATGGAGGTTAACTCTTGAAATTCAAAAACATCTACTCCTTATTCCAGATCTTTCTCAAAAAAACTTTCTCCTATTCTTCCGTATTGAACAAATGATACAATAACTTCATAATAAAACAATAAATTAGGACGTTACAAAAGAATAAACTTGTTATCAAATGTCCATTCATTTCCAATGGGCGGCCTATTACACGATGTCCAGAGCTGGATTAAATAATTCGAGAAATTTGAAAAAAATTTGGGTAGTTTTGCATCCATTTTATGTATTTTCCTTCTATTCTTGACATCCTCATTATATCAGGATTTTTCTAATTTTACCGAAATCAGCTTGAAAATTAAATGAAATTTTTCAATAACGTGAGCACCACATGCAAGATATAGCAAATGAGCTTGCAAATAAGAATAACAATGATATCTTTTTTAAGGCATCTTACAATGGTATCTTTTTCAATTTTAAAATAGAAAAAATCAGAATCAGCAGCGATAGAAGGACAAGTTGGAATGATAAAATAAATCACCAAATATTCATGCTTACCCATTCTAAGTATTAAAAAATTTATGTGCTGCAAAATAATTTATATCTTCGTAAACAATATGTTCATTACAATTCAAGCAAGAATCCAAACTTTAAAAGTTTTTATATTCAGACTGAAAAGTTAAAACATTATTCCTCGACTCTGTTCAAACACATTATTGCATCGATCAGTATTTTTGAGGAAGGTGATTTCAAACACAAGCAAAGCTGCTTGATTGCTTCGATTTGTGTTAAAAAATACAGTTTTGCTGATTTCGGATTCAGCTCCAAATAAGCGACACAAACATTCTGTAATACTTGAGCCAACCGTACCCATGTTCGTCCACATCCAACATTCTGCAATATTTTAATCAAATAAATTTGTGATTAAATACATAAATTGTCTAAACTTCTATTTACTCGTTCATTTTGAAATACTTGTTTCAATTTTTTTCATCATTGGTACTATGTAATCTTCTAGTACTTGATATTAAGCCATAAAAATCCAGCAACATCAAACCATACAATTGGTTAAAAAGTTGATTTACAATGCGTCATTGTCACCACTTTTCAATAATTAATGCAAGCACACGCTATATATAGATTAAAATAGTGTGTCAATTTTCTATAAAATGCTTTCTACTGTTACATTTAATCTAAGCAATAATGGCAACAATAGCAGCAAAGAATAAAAAGAGACCTCAAAAAGAGTGAAGAATGTTTGCAGAATGGACTGTAGAGGATCAGCTTCTTCGAAGGACTGTGGAGCTAAATCTAATAATAATTTCAGGATATATTGTAATAAAGATTGATAACTGTTTGTTCGTAGTTGTCGTGCTGGAAGTTGCACAACTGATGCCAAGCAAGCGGACAACAACGGTAAATGTCTGAAATAACATTATTTTGTTTTTTAATAGCATAAAATTACTGATTTCATAGTTTATAAAGATTACTCATTCGTATCGTATAGAAAATTTTTTTTCATCAATTCATTTGCATAGGAGAAGCATAGCTCTAATCTAAAATCCAATCACAGCAATATTAACAACCAAAATTGCAAAAACAACTTTCCAGTTACAAGCTGCAATATTTGCACGACAAGCGAAATTTGGCCGAATTAAAGAACGACATTTATGTATTATTAGACTGACGACCTTTTTGCTCTTTACCGTACAAACAAACTCGAATTTCTCTGCTAAGCAACTGAAACTATTAAGGAAACGAATATGATCAATTCCATTACGAAAAAATATTTGGACTAACTAAAGTCCAACCTTAATACAACACGTGGTTGACTATGCGCAATTTGCCCCAATGCACTGATTTTATGATCCATTGAACATACAGGTATAGCCGCAGCAGAAAATAATTCCACAATAGCATTATGGACTGTCCGATCATGGACGCATATGGAACGATATGAATCGATCACTATTGCATCGTTTTTCAGTCGAGCGTCTGAAATGTATTCAAAAAGTGTGCTAAAAATTATAGTTATAACTAACAATTCTAAAAATCTTAAATAATCTTATTCTGTTTTCTTCTTATGAGATTTTATGATGTCATGAATATGACAGAAATTATCCCCGAAGAGTTCAGTCGGGAATAGCAAGAATATTTTAAAAACTCCTGCAAATAGCAAAATTTTTTAAAACAAATTCAATACGAAAAATTCAAATTTGACTTTTCAATGAAGCAATATAAGGAAAATCGAAAGTTCCAATGTTCCAAATGTTTCCAAAGAAAAAAAGAAGTAAGTTTTGGTGCTGCTTGAAAATAAATAGTACTAAATCAAATATTACCTGGAAACCGTTTCACAAAAGCATCTATTATCTGTTGCGCGAAACATTTTCGTTTAATGTTATCTGGCGAAGTTAGAGCACGCGAAACCTCTGCTAACATTTCTTGCGTTAGGTCGCCTGGAAATTTGTGGGAACTTTAAGTTTTTTTTTTGGAAACTTTTGAAATGACAAAAAAACATCCTGTTGTTCATTTTTTAGTAATTAAATCTAGTTAAAAAGATTTTCAAATTAAAGATGCAAATTTAGTTAAATATTAAATCGATATTCGAAAATCAGAATGAATGACATACATCGAATATTTGCATTGTTTTCTAGAAATTTCATTAACAACGTTATAACATCATCTGAATGACGTTCCATTTCAGCCAGAACATATTGGATGAAAACACTGCATTGTTTCGATGAAAGTACGTAAGTTTTAGAAGCACAAAAAGCACTGGTAACAGTTCGTATTACTGACATGCCTGTAAATCTGCAACGAAATGGCTATAGCTTACAGTATACGAAGTGTGTTTTTCTTCTATATCAAATTATCTAATACAGCAGACCAAATTAACATTGACTGAGCATCAGTCATCGCCACAACAGACGTATGAGACGCGAGACTAACTGTTCAGCTATTTATTTGATTCTATTTGTCAGCAATACCATTAATTAAATATTATCATATTTCTATGTTCCAAAAAGGAGTAGTAGAAAAAAAGACGACAGATAAAAATTCCGATCAAAAATAAAATAATTTAGCAAATTTCTACTTCAAAGATTACAGAAAACTTACTGAGACCGATATGATTCGAGCAGATACTGAATTATTTTACTCAAGGTAGTTGAAGAACATGCAGTCGGTAGCAAGGAAATGATATACTGCAGTGTTGGTGCTTTGGATGAGAATAATATTTCCATTAAAGTATGTGATTTACTGCCAAGATCACCATCATCTCTACGGGGCAATATTTCTGGACACGTGTCCAGAAACCTTTCCATCAAACGACTTTGCATATCATCCTATGAGGAATAGCTTTCATATAATATACATCATACATTATGCACAAAAATACAGATAACTACATATGCTTTTGAAAGTAAATGCGAACAGTTCATAAGCGGTAGAAGAAACACAAAACTATACATATACAATAAAAAGATACCTGGAACTTTCCATTAAATTATTTTACGGAAAAAATTTGCAACTAACCATGCCAACAGAATTTGCCAGACGCATGAGGATACTTTCTGGATCATATGTGTCATAATTTGGTGAGCATGGACTTTCTGTTTCTATCGCATATTCTGCAGATTTAAAATTGAAAAAAAAATTCCTCAAGGAAAAATAATAGTTGAATTTGGCATGATAAGCACTATTTGATGATAAAGTTAATGAGGCAAATTACTAATAGTCGAACTTCAAATAATTGAACGAGAAAATAGCAATAAAATGTACCTCCACCACGACTGTACAAAATCCTGCGCACAGATTCTGGAATATAAAGATTCGATTTGCTGAATACACTGTTGAACAAAGAATCAAAATCATTGACTAATGAAGCATCCTAAAACATTCGTATCTTAACGTGTT